TACACTTGGCAACATCTGCCACATTGCCCCCATACACCCTGTAATACGCCTTTTCCAAAATAAAAAAAATTTCCCCATAATGCAACAAAAGACCTCCTTAGCCTTATCGAAATACTGTTCCCTTATATGTTTCACTGTAAACACCTAGGTCCACACACCCCTTACCTTTCTAAAGCCTCCTTGTTCATCTGCTATCCTATTCTCCGTTTACTCTTAATTCTTTCAATATATAACTCTACCATTACACCTTTACCAGGTACACTCAACAGACTTATCCCCCTATAATTTTTGCACTCTCTTTTATCCCCCTTTGCCTTTATACAAAGGAACTATGATGCTCTCTGCCAATCCCTAGGTACCTTACCCTCTTCCATTACATTTATTAAAACAATTGCACCAAACCACTCCAAAACTATATCCCCACCTGCTTTTAACATTTTATCTTTATCCCATCAATCCCGGCTGCCTTACCCCCTTTTCATTTTACCTACTGCCTCACGAACTTCCCCCACTCTCACAACTGGTCTTCATCACTCCTACAAGATGTTATTCCTCTGCCCTATACACGAAATCACAGCTTCCTATCTTCATCAAACATTTAACAATTCCTCAAAATATTCCTTCCATCTTCCCAATACTCTAACATCTCCATTTAATACTCTCCTCTCCTATTTTTTAACTGACAAATCCATTTGTTCTCTAGGCTTTCTTAACTTGTTAATCTCACTCCAAAACTTTTTCTTATTTTCAACAAAATTTGTTGATAACATCTCACCCACTCTCTCATTTGCTCTCTTTTTACATTGCTTCACCACTCTCTTAACCTCTCTCTTTTTCTCCATATACTCTTCCCTCCTTGCATCACTTCTACTTTGTAAAAACTTCTCATATGCTATTGATACCACCTTTAAATCAGTTCTTATTGTTATTCTAATGCTGACCATATCTTGTACTCTTGAAACATGATTATTGACATGTACTTGAAAAGATACGACAATCTAAGATAAAACCAGAGGACCATGCAAAGCTTCAAAAGTAATATCCCAAGTATAGAAAACAACTACAAAGTTGCATTAGTTTGAAAATTACACATACCGTACACATCAGGGATTAAAGAGCAAAATTCATTAAAAAAAATAAATTATGCTGTTTCAGCCAAAACTGGCAGATTTAGTAATACAGTGGAACCTCAGTTTTCGTGATTAATTCGTTCCAGAAAGGTCTGACAAAAACCAAATTGTATGAAAACTGAAGCAATATTTCCCACAAGAAATAATGTAAAACTGAAGCAATATTTCCCACAAGAAATAATGTAAATCCAATTAATCCGTTCCAGACACCCAAAAATATTAACAAAAAACACATTTTATAAAGAATAACTATAGTTTTACATACAGAAAGCAATGAGAAATAAATATAAATGACTAATGAAATGGATAAATGAACATTTAACATCACTTTTACCTTTACTGAAGACTCTTGTTGGCGTATGGAAGATGGCGAGGAGGGGAGAGGGAAGAGGAGAGGTTATTGTTTGGAAGGGGAAATTCCCCCCCTAGGATTCAGGTATCAAGGCCCTTCTGGGATTATTCCCCTTCTTTGTCTTTTATGGTGAGTCGGGCCATGCGTAGACTTTTCGTATTTTGTTTGATTTTTTTCTGAATTCTATCTGTTTTTGCTTTTTTATCAAAGGGCTGGACTCAGAACTTTTTTTTGGTCCCATAGTGGCTTATATAGCGTCCACTCAATAAACAAGCACAAAAACCAATGGATTATTATGAATTTTTTGGATGAACGCTTGGGGGATTGCTAATAATGGAAACAAAGCAGATGAGTCAGAAGCATGGGGCTTTGTGTGGGGTGGGGAGGTGGAACATTTGGTACAGTGACCTTTTGTCAATGCTACAAAAAACAAGGGGAAATGTACGAAAACTGGGACAAAATTTCGTTGAAAAAAGTCAAAAAAACCGAATCCCGAAAACCAGGGATAAAAAAACCCGACGTTCCACTGTAAACGTTAACTAAATACTTTTTACTGTTGGTTGAGAAGCAAAACAGTGGCCTTCAACAAACGATTAATCTTTCCCTGAGAGCTCATCTTTAGTCAAAATAATAGTTAGTCAAGTTAATTTTCCCCAAAAAAAAAAAGGGAAAATCAAATTAATCCGTGAAAGAACCAAAAGTTTTGAAAAAAAAAAATTTTAACACATGAAATTTTAATTTTTAATACACAAAAATAAAAGAGACATCCCACGTTCTGACACTTCCCTTTTTTAAAGATTGGTGATGATTGATGGGTGGGAAAGAGGGGAGTGTGTTGTGGTTTTTAGGTTTAAAGGGGAATCCCCTTCCTTAGGATTTGGGGGGCCAAAAGTTTTTTGGGGACTTCCCTTCTTTTTTAATGCCCACAACCATTTTAAAAAAAACCCCCCCCTTGCAAAAACATACAGTATCGCCATAGAGGCCTGTACCCCCCTTTCCCCTTATGACATTCCTAAAGGTTTCCAACATTCCCGTGTCCCCTTTAAAACATTTGTTCAGGTTTCAGTCTTCACTGTCTATGTACCCCTTGATTCTGCACATATTTTTCAGCTGCTTTTTGGTCCAAATGCAGTCTCCCCATGCCTCACACTTTATGCCCCTATGATTCTTAAATCTCTCAAACCAAACCCTTTTCTGGCCTTAAATTCATCACATCACCACTGTTGCCGGCATTTTTTAATTAAATCGTATGCAACTTCCCCAGCCTTTTAATATGTCGCTTGAGAGTGCTACTCCTGCTATTGTTTTTTTGTTTATCCATACCAATAAACAGTCTCTCAACATTTCTATCACTTGTGATCCAGTTTCGAAAAAAATGTTGCACCTTTTGGGAGAAAACTTCCTTATTGCGTTTTTTTGGCACAATGTAGCGTGGTTGATTGGGGTTTTGTGTACAGCCTGGCCAGTCGGAGAATGCCCTCCCTTTCAATTGCAATGATCTCTTTTTCATATCCCCTAAATTCTCACCTTTTTTCTGTGGGTTGGGACTAGAAGTTTCTTGGGGGGCCCTGGTGACTTTTTTTGCAGGGTGCAATCACTAAAAAGGCTGTGATAATATGAAATGTTCCGATTGTATGCTTGGAAGCGACCGCGGTGGCTGGCTGGCTTGTAAACACTGGCCAGAAGTGGACGCGTCTCAGACGGAACGAATAGTGTTGGTCGAGTTTTTTAGCGCTAATCGAGGCAAAATTTTTGCGATAAAATGTATCGCTAGTCAGATTTATCGTTAATCGATGCCATCGCTGGTCGAGGGTCCACTGTACTGCTAACATGCCTCCATACTGAACATGGGTTCCAAATTTATATTTGCACTTTTAATAATGGCCTATGATTGTTACAATTTTGACATTATGATCCAAGCTACAATAGCAAAATTTAGTTTTTTTTAATTTTGATCATTGCTTTTCAAAAAAAAAAAATAGCATCTGACCACTATGACATTCAAAAGAAAATATCTTAGAAGTTAACAAAACTACTGTACTAAAATTAAAAATAATAATAAAATATAGCTACCTAAGAAAATGTAGTGGTACCTTGACTTATGAGTTTAATTAATTCCGTGACCGAGCTCGTAACTCAATCTGCTCATATATCAAATCAATTTTCCTCACTGAAGTTAATTGAAATGCCATTAATCCATTCCAGCCCCCAAAAAACCACCCCAGGGGGAGGAGAAAATACAGTGGACCCCCGCATAACGATCACCTCCGAATGCGACCAATTATGTAAGTGTATTTATGTAAGTGTGTTTGTACGTGTATGTTTGGGGGTCTGAAATAGACTAATCTACTTCACAATATTCCTTATGGGAACAAATTCGGTCAGTACTGGCACCTGAACATACTTCTGGAGTGAAAAAATATCGTTAACCGGGGGTCCACTGTACTTCAATATAATGCTAATATCAACTCTATGGCTTATTTATCTATCAGAATTTATCTAATATGACATAATAAACACTATAAGTAACATAGAAACATGATATATACTCTAGAATGAATAAAATAGGCCATAATATGGCGAGTGTCCTATAATGTGTTCTTTGGTCCAGGGTAAGAGAAAACAGTTTTTGAGAGGCTAACTGCACTAGATCACTAGTGCAGTGATATACAATTATCTCGGAAGTAAGTTATTGACTTATTTCATGAAGCCCACCATTTATTATTGAAGTAAATGCAATAATATTGACAGAAATCATAAAAAAATGATTGTCCTACAATTGGCTTGTGAAATATTGGAAATATTCCAAATATTTTGGGATTTGCGTGGGAGTAAAGGGCAAGATATTTTGCAAATGTCAAAAACTTAGCAACTTTATTTTTTTGCAGAATAACTAAAGATAATTACATGATTATCTACAGTGAGAACATAGCACTAGCATTGTTTTATAAGTACCAAGTCCCAAAACCAGCATCCATTGTGCCGTTTAGGTTGGGGTTCTTGCCAAATGTCATTTTCAGTAAATACATATTTTTTTTCACTCGTAACTCAGATTCTGGCGCACAATTCAGAGCGAAAAATTGACCAAGCAATGGCTCGTAACTCGGAAAACTCGTAAGTTGGGGCACTCGTAAGTCAAGGTACCATTGTATAGTAAAACCTCAATTGAACGGAACCTGATTTAATGAACAAAACCTGTAGCTGGGCAACATTCAGAATCAATGGACAAACTCTGTTAAACTCAAAACTGTTCGTTATTGTTACAGTCCACTAGGTAAATTTACTTTCAGGTTTAATGAACTTAGTAGATTAAATATGGAAATTATCCATTACTGTTTCAAACATGGAAAAAATATTTTCACAATTCAAATTTAATGGAGAATCACTTTTAACAGAACTCCCCTTCCCCTATTAGTCCATTAAATAGAGGATTCACTGCCAAAATATAAGAACAAATAAAACTTCAATACTACAACACTAATAATCAAATCAGTGACCTTGTCTGACAAAATACGCACCTGTTAGGCTTTTGAAGAAAGTGAAAGCTAAGACACGTGAGCCAGTTGAGCCAGCATCAATAATGACAGCATGCACTCGCTCCTGCACACCTAGTGCCACAGACACATGGTCCAGGGAGTTGGTGCTATGGCCAATACTCTTCAATGGCCATGTGTTATTTAAAGTCACTGTGGAAAGTCCATCAAAGTACTGTCAAAAATTGTCAACTGCATACTGTACATGACAACCAGAAAACAAACAAAATTCAAAGGCAATTTAATATTATAGTTACTTAGGAAAAATAACTACTGTGAAAAAATAGTGAATTTCCAAGTGCTTCAGTGATTTCTTACATTATTAAGGAACTGTAAGAAGAATTGGACATCAGAAGACATAAGAATGAGGTATCACCTCATATATGACCTGACACCTGGCCCAATATGCTGTGCGTGGGAGTGTAGTGAAGATTTTGACGCGTCACACGTCAAGTACAATTTATGAGTTACATGTCAGGCATAACTTAAATTCCTCACAAATTCTATTAATTATTTTGCATATTGTGATATCACTTGCTTACTGTAATCTTACTGCATAGTCACTTATGCATAACTATACAAGGCAGTTATGTAACAAAAGAGCAGGCTGAAATCAGTGGGGGTTTACTCATTAAAAAGCCTGAACCTATAAAGTTTGTTACAGCCTTTCAAGTGGAGGGGAAAACCTTTACGATTACCTCGTGTCATCTTTACACAATGCTGCACCATATGTGAAACTCAACATTTAATTAGCAATCAATTACTCTGAATCTATTATATCTTGTATGAAAGGCTTACCTAATATTATGAGAGATGTAAGGCTGAAAACGATTCCATAAAAAAGAAGTCTCATCAAACGAAACGAGGTGTGCATTTTGCCTGATGATTGTGTGCCCTTTGTGGCCACCCCCATATCACCTACTGCCTGCAATAAAAAAAAATTTAATTCTAGTGGCTATAAAATACTTTGACTTTAGAACCTAAAATAAATCAATAATTTTTCTAACATGTAAATATAAGAGTTCACATTCAACGTACATGACTTCAAGACCAATGATAAAAACAGACAATGAAGAAATGAGAGAGGAAAGACAAAAAGAAGAAACATAATGAGTAGGTTTGCATTCATTCTGCCAATGATTTTTTAATAATCAGAAGTGCTGTACATCCTTTTATTCTACACAGCAGGGTGAACAAGTCTTGTGCTTTAGATGAGATGTTCCAGACAGTACGTAGCCCAACAGTGTTGCATTCCAAGTCTAATACCATTTGTAATTTAAAAATAAATTGGCCAGAAATGTTATATGTACTGCAACTTTTGGTTAAACTATAGTACAACTGCTTAGTATAATTTTCTCCACCTCACATCCATTTTTTTCTGCATTATTTTAGAAATAATTATTAATAATTCTATTGAAAAAGTTTAGCCAAAACATATTTTATTACACTGCTACACTTTGCTTAATGTTTGCATGTACAATACAATCCTAACATTTTGTCTCCACACTAGTAGTAGTTCGTTTTTTAGCCCAAAAGAAAGAAACCTGCCATCAATTCACTTTCTTTGGCATGTCAAAAAACACCTTAAAATCTTATCCGCTTCCCCTTCCTGCGATATTTCAATAAATGGTGGCTTACACGTACACTTTTCCAAGGAAATGTGATGTTCAAAAAAATTCACCCATTTATTTATTTATTTATTTATTTAAAATTTGAAAATGATAAGTGAAGAAAAAGGAATACGTTTTTACGTGCACATCCCAAACCCCTTGTATGCAGAGCATTAGGGGCGGCTTAAAATACAGTAAATTAAATGGTTATGTAAACTCTTTTCTCGTTGAACCTATCAAGAATCTCTGGTCTTTGAATTCAATTAAATTCAAAAATTTTATTCCTTTAGGGATTACAATGCTGAGTTTCAGAATTTGGTTACTGTGTGGTTTACATGTTTTTAAAATAATAATTAGAGTCCCCAAAAGGCACTAGCATGGTTTTGGCATTTTGGGGCAAACTTAAATTAAATCTTAAGTTTAAAATTTAAAAAATTAGAGGTAATTTGGTTTTTATGGCTAAGTGACAATTATTTTGTGAGTTTAGAAATTTGAATGCTTTTGTTTTAGCACTATACATTTTTCAGTTTGGGGAGTATCACAGGCCAACTTAGATAGTTAAGATTCTTTTTTTTGAGATTGAGTTTGATTTTTTTTTTATGGTCAAATGGGTGAGTGGTGAAAGTGTTAACACAGGTGGTATTCGTGAAATTAGTTGACAGGGGGTTGGGGAGATAAGATGTTTTCTGATGGTAGTTTTAAAGGTGAGAATGTGTCTGCAGTTTTAGAATTTTCGGTAGGGTTTTCCAGATTTTGGGCCCTTTGATATCATTAAATTTTTTGTAAAGGTTTAGTGGAACGGGGAATGTCATAGAGTTTTTTTGTGTTGGGTTGTCCCTGGGGGTTCTGTCGAACTTCAAGAAGGTTTTAGGTCAAGGTTAATCGGGAAATTTAAGGTCCTGTGATGTAGATTGAAGTAGAGTGTGGATTGTATGAACGGAGTAGTTTAGATCTATGAAGAGTGGGGGGGTGTGTTCGGGGATGGGATTTAGTGATTTTCTTATGCGGCTTTTGTTGGGTTATTTTGGCTTTGGTGTGTTGCTGCATTTAAACCCCCAAGCACAGATAGCTAGGTGAGGTATGGATTACAAGTAAATGGTATAGTGTGAAAAGGCAGTTTGCGGCACGTATATGAAATTTTGGAGAGGATCCCAACCGTTTTGGAACTTTTTTGGTTATGTGTTGGATTGGGTGCTGAAGTTCAGGTTGTTGTGAGGTATAGGCCTAGGAATGCCCTCATTATGCCTGGCAATTAGATTTTGTCGATCTTAACCCTTTTCAGGGGTCCGTCCCGTGATCTAGGGTGGTCGGGAGTGTCCAAACCCCCCGTAGATCTACCCCAAATTTAGCGCCGTAAAATTTAGCGCGAAAGCGCTCTGGGCCCTAATATGAGAAAATGGGTTGCGCAGTGGGTGTGCGCCGTAAACAAAAAATCTAGGGCCTGCATAGCATTGTGGGAACCCCGGCTCACCCCCTTTGTTCACCATCCCTCGTGCAAGTCAGCTCTCACCCCCCGGGAAAAATTGGGATCCCCTCTTGTGTCGATAGTTTGACACTGAGGGAAGGGGAAATGAAGCAAATTTAGGTTTTGATAAGTTGTGCCCGAAAATAATGACCAGGATATCGATAATAGTGCAGAAAAACCCGACGACCCTCGACTTTTTCTCTGGTGTGGGACTCGTGATCACCGTGGGGTTTTCCCTTTAAGTAAGAAAAAACTAATTTTTGTGGCCCCTCTGCTCAGTAATGACGATGATTTGAGTGGATTGTTTTTTTATTGCGCCGCGATCATTGAGTAGTGATAGTGAGGAAACATATCCCCCAGTGAAGCGTGGTTTGTCCCCGCCGCATCGCTGGGTAGTGTACCTTGCTGTGCCGGGGACGGAGTACATCCGCAGTACATCCCGGAGTACATTCCCGGGGCCCCTTTACCCCCGTTTTGGGTTTGGATGTGGGTGATGTGGTACCTTGGCATGGATGGGCCAGGACATCAGTGGAGGGTGTTGTGGGGGGTGGTGGTAGTGGCACGTTTGCGTGTCGCTGTGCCAGCGGGAACCCACGCTGCTGATCTCAGTTTTAAGGACAAAAACGGAGCGCACCCACCAAACCCCCCCAACCACCCGTAAACGCCTATGATGTCCGTATCCCCAGCAACCCTATCTGGGATTGGCAGCAAAAAAACAATTTTGTTCCCCGCCTCACCCTTTTTTATGACTCGCAAAGTGGAATTCTCCTACCTGTCCCTTTGGAAAACCCCGGCCAATGAACGGGAAATTTTTTGAATTATTCTTTGGACCGCCCTTGATGGAAAAATTTTTGTAGGGAAAATAATAAGATTTTAGTACACCATGGCAAAAACGATCTTATACCCGCAAGACTACACAGGGGAAAGAGACGACTGTTGCAGAAATGTTTTGCTTTTTGCAAAATAATGCTTAGCCCACGTCTATAAAATATAAAGTATGGTCCCCGATCGGGTAATTTGTACCTTTCAGTGAAAAAAATACCAGTGAAAAGGTTTATTTACTGTTAGTATGTTGCACTTCTCTGACAAAACCAGGGCCCGACAGAAGTGCAGGGTTTACAAGATTAGAATGTTTTATGAAACTCAAACGTTTGGTTACTTTTTACCATTCAAGAATTTTTTAATTTCACTTTATTTTGTTCAAGGTAGACTGTCATTAAGCAGTATTCCGGCAAGAGGAACCGTTTTATAAAATTGTTTGTTCTGTGATTGGACAGTGGCTGGTGTTGGATATTGTTGGTATACACGGGTAGTAAAACATTTAAAAAATACAAGATTTATTGGGTATATAGGTGACGTGTGAGAAAACATGTGGACCTTTTTCGGTAAGGGCCATAATATTACCCCATAACTGGAAAAGCCCATTACTCAGTGATTTATGCAAAAATGAACAAGACAGTGTGTGTGGCACAGTGGTTTAATGTAAAATTTGCCCAGGTCAAAAGCAGGTGTTTGTGGTGATGACGTGCAGGGTTTTTTGCCAATGACATCATTTGGGATTACGGTGGCATGACAAAGAGGGTGTCCTTGTTGCAACCATTACCGTAATGAAAATGCAAGACGGGCAAAGTTGATCGAGTGACCAATGAACGTTTTCGAAAACCCGTGACGTGATTTTTTTATACACAAAACATGCGCTTGGTTGCAAGTGGACATGCAGATTGGTTTTGTTGACTGTGTTCGTAAAAGGTTTCAAATGGTACATGAAACTTTTCTTCCTTCCATGGAATTTAATGTGAATTTATTAAAATGTACCCAAAAAAGACTGGTACAGACCACCGTATGGTTTAAATTTTGTTTTTTTTGTTGTAGACAACTATAATGAAGTACCAGGCAACAACATGCAATACAACTGGTCCCCGAATTATCACAAATACCCCAAACTTTGAGGAAGAAGGTGTCCAATTCATAAAACGTTCCTTCAACTCAAAAAAAATTTGCTCAGAAGGATGCATTGTCTGTGCACAAACAAAACGACGGCAAAAAAAGCGCAAAACATCGGTTTAGTGTAGGAATGTAAGGTGCCTCTGTGAGGTGCCTTTTTTCAAGGGTTCACAAACTCCAGCAGTTCTAAAAAACCCTGTCCACTGATTGTAAAATGTAAATATATGATGAACATTAGTATTATACCCAAAATTTGTGATGTTTTTGTAATAAACAAAAAGTGGGAAACAATAATATGTAATAACTTTAGTGCGGTTATTTTTGTTCAATACAGTGGTTTTTATATACTTTATAATATTGGTCTCTCGGCCCCAAATGTTAGAGGAATAGAAAAAAAAAAGGAAAAAAAAAAAAAAACAAAAAACCCAAAAAAATATAATACGCGTATGGGAATTCGTCGATGTTGCCGCACACATCATTTTCTACAAAATTCTTGGCACGTATCTCGGTAAGTACTGATCAGTTTTTTTTTTTGTTTTATTACCTTCACAAAAATATGCTCTTTTTTTTGTAAGAAAAAGTAAATTTTTTTTTTTTCAAAATTTCTTGGGGACATGGTGCGTGACTTCAGATTTTGGCCTTGGGCCCCCAAAGGGTTAAGTTAATTTGCGCATTTCCCCTCTACCAAAAAATAATGAGTAGGTTTTGTCAAGGAAACCCCAAGTTTTTTGGCTGTCATCCAAGTCAAATTTTGATCAGCTCTCATTTAAAAATTGTTGAGGGGGCAAGAAAGTTAGGGGGGAGATGACATAAGTCGTGTCTACAAAGGAAAGGGGGTTCAGGTGTTGAGATACGTTTGGGAAAAATCATTGATGTTAGGGGAAGAGCAGGGGCCCCAAAGGGCAT